GATTTTTATTAACTTTTTGTATTGTTTGGGTTGGTCATTCTGGGCTGGTCATATATTCTTCTATTTAATAATACATGTAAAAAACTTGCATGTTTATATGCATGAATGTTACGTATGTCGTCATCGTCGTCATCATCATCGTCATTGTCATAATAAGCGAACACGGAAACAGCTGGACGTAGATTTATGTATGTATGTTTGTTTGTTTGTATGTATGTATGTATGTATGTATGTATGTATGTATGTATGTATGTATGTATGTATGTGTTTGTGTGTGTGTTTTTGTCTGTATGTGTTTGTGTGTGTGTGTGTGTACACACACATGGGAAATTTGATAGAACCTCTCGACGTTAATAAGTTTAAATCCAATTGTCGGCGTTTGCTTTTTTTTTGATGAAGATGAAGACGACGACGATGCCGATGATGATGATGTAAAAATTATAACAACAAGAAAAAAAAAGCAACTACAGTAGATACGGTTGTGATGACGGCAATGATGATGATGATGAAGACGATGATGATGATGGTTATTGTGATTTATGACTATGATCATTAGCGCAATCACCTCTGAACAACTTCAACACCCACTCAGAATTTTCTAGCGTGAACTTCACACACACACACACGCACACACACACACACACTCACACACATATGTATAAATATATGTATATATATATTTATATAATCCACAAACACACGCTACACACACACACACACACACACACAAATATATATATGTGTATATATATATATTTATATAATCCACAAACACACGCTACACACACACACACACTCACACACACACACACATATATATATATATATATATGTATATATATATTTATATAATCCACAAACACACGCTACACACACACAAAACACAAAAACATTATACAGCACACTCACACACGCATTTTAACACACACACACCACAAACATACACATCCACACACACACACCACGCAAACTCAATAATTTAAACACTCCGCATTTTAAACTAAAACATACATTCGCACCTACATACACTCATAAAAAAACACACTACAACTAACAAAATGAAAAAAAAACATTTTTTTTCTTTATGAAAAAAATTTACATAAATAAAAACACATAAAAATATGTAAGGCACACACATACACACACGCACACACACACACACGCACATACAAACACACACATACACGCACACACACACACACGCACATACAAACACACACATACATACACGCACATCCTCACACACTTATTTTATTTCAGACACATGTCATTCGAAAAAGGATTTCTTTAAGAATTTTTCATCATCGCATAATAATCAACATGCTCCAAAACCATCTCTTGAGTACCATCACCATCCATTATTGTATTGCATTTTATTTCATCATAATTTTCATTGTAAAATACCTTAATACTTTAACATCGATGCCAAATATTACAAAGAAAATACACAACAATATCAAACAATACAAAGAAATACACAACAATACCAAACAATACAAAGAAATACACAATAATACCAAACAATACAAAGTTATACACACAACGATTAAAACAATACAAAAGTACATAAAAGATACCAAACAATACGCAAAAATGCAATACAATACATAGAAATACACAAACATATCAAACAATACAAAGTTATGCGAACATAAAAGCGACTGAGAGATAGCATCAAAATTATTGTATGCCTGTTGTAGCTGCTCTCCGATAAGAGGTTTTGTATCGTACTACACGCACGTGTGTGTATATGTATGCGTGCGTGCGTATGTGTGTGTATGCGTGCGTGTGTGAGTGTGTGTGCGTGCGTGTGTGTAGGTTAGTTATTCACGGTATGATTAGTTATTCATGGTATTGCGAGATAGATATACCTGCGTAGTGCATCTATCTAAAAACATAAAAACATCCATTCATTTAATTTTTCAATCAATCATTCCACTCTCTCACTCTTTATCTGCGGTCGTCGGTTCGTCGGTTCGTTTGTACACTATTTGCATTCGTTCTATATTTAGTAGCTCATTCATTCTTCCTTCTTTTTCATCTTTGGTTGTTTTTGGTTTTGTATTTATTTTTTGTTTAATTGACTTTGATTCTTTATTTTTCAATTTTCGAATGTTTATTATCTTCAAGCTGTTGCATGCTGGTTCAATAATAATTCAATTAATTATTTTCTGCTTCAATTTAAAATAATTTGTTCCTCCTATCCATCTATCATTTTATCCATTCATTCGTCCATAGTTTCATCCATCCATCCATTCATTCATTCAACCATTCATTTTTCGTTCAAGCACTCGCCTGTTTGATATGAATGAATCTAACTCTCTCCTGCAAAGGAAAAAATTTCTCTACGGACGGCCATGTTGGTATCACGTGATAAGCTACGTCATCAATCACGCCATAGTCAACCAGCCAATAACATGCTGTGTACTGTTGTTGTTGTTGATGATGATGAGGAAGATGAGGTTGTTGTTGTTGTTGGTTTTTCAGTTGTAGGAATATAATTTTTGATTGATAGTACTGCGATTGAATGATATTTGATTGATAAGAACCTGCCATCTTGCTTCCTACACAGGCAATGATGTTTCATGTGCAGCGGGGCTGGAAAAAAATTTCTTTTGATTTATGAACAGAATGCAGACAAGTGGAAAAACGTTTTTGAAAGGATAATTGAAATGACTGAATGAACGAACGAACGAACGAATTAATGAATTAATGAATTAATAAATGAATTAATGGATAAATGAGTGAATGATTGATTGATTGATTGAATGAATGAATAAATGGACAAAGAAAAAAATGAATGAAGGAAGAAAGAGAAAAAATGACATTTTTTAAAAAATATTCAGATTTGCATGTGTGGCAGGTTTTCCTTACGTCATATTTGCATTTAATGATTTTCTTTCTCTTTTCCTTTACTACTCTCTTTTATTCTCTCTCTCTCTCTCTTTCTCTCTCTCTCTTTCTCTCTTTACCTATCTATCTATCTATCTGTCTGTCTGTCTGTCTGTCTGTCTGTCTATCTATCTATCTATCTATCTATCCATCCATCCATCCATCCATCCATCCATCCATCCATCCATCCATCCATCCATCCATCTATCCATCCATCCATCCATCTATCTATCTATCTATCTATCTATCTATCTATCTATCTATCTCTCATTCCCTCTTTCTTCCTTCTCTTTCTTTTTTGAAACTTTGCATTCCAGCCATGCTCAACGACGTTGGAATGGGTTTATAATTTAATAAATATTAAAAAAAAATATTAAATATTAAATATTATTTTTTCTTCAGTTCATTTTTTATTTCTTGCAAGGCTGCCATTTTATTTTAAAAAAACAAGTGAAAGAGCAAATGAAAAAATGAAGGAATAGAGGGATAGACACACGAACTGTTGAAATAGAAAGCGATGATGACAGTGATGGTGATGATGATAATGATGATGATGATAATGATGACGATGGCTATTATAACTATGGCGAAATATTTGTTTTTGCTTTGAATGTTATTTGTATAATGTATGTACTATGTAATATCCATTAGTTACGGTAAATAAAAAACAAATTAACAAGAGCAAGTCTCTCTTTTTGATGAAAGTGTACGTTGTGCAATTGTAGCAACTGCAGTGACAACAGCTGCTACATCAACTACATAAACAACTACCACTATAACTACATCAACAACAACTTCATCAGCTACTACATCAACAGTTTTATCACCAACTACATCAACAGTTTTATCACCAACTACATCAATAACTACATCAACAACAACAACAACAACAACAACATCATCAACAACAACATCAACAACAACAACATCAACAATTTCATCAACAACTACAAACGTCAACAAATACCACTCCCAACTTCACGATCAAAAGTGAACTAATCCACGATAATTATACGTTACTGCCTGCTTTTTCGCCATTTTATTACACACACACGCAAAAACACACACATACCCACGCACACACACAGTCAGACTCACAGGTACAAAAAATCTGCTGCTAATGTGTAACGTGCACACACATTTGTACGTGAAGAATGATTGATTTGCATGAGGCTGGTTGCAAATTTAAAAAAAATGCAAAATGTATAAAAAAAAATGCAAAACAAAATCAGCCATGTAGAATTAGTTTCAAATTACAACAAAAAATAACGACAAATTGATTAATTAATAATTTTAAATCGTTTGGATTCAAATGTCGCACATGATACACACACTTTCACGCACCACACACACGCACGTACACACACACACATACATAGGTACACACACGTACGCACATAAACAAGCAAATTCGCTTGTTTATCTAAATATAATTCTCTTATCAATCGATCCAATCGAATAACAATTTCGACATGTTAATTCCGCCATTTTCCTCCAATGACAGTTGACAACGAACCGGAAATAGTTAAGCAGCTAACGCGCAAGACGTCTACGTAAAGATTATTTCGCTTATTTAAATTATTTTTTCAGTGACGTCATGCGAATATAAATAAATATAAATAATCATTGATTTATTTTGATTATTGAGTGTGAACGAATTTCCCTTGTAAAAATAATATCAATATTTATAGCGGTAATAATAATTCTGAATAATAAATTTATAAGAATATTATCAGTCAAATAAGGTTACTTGGTTGATCAAGTATGGACATAGATGTGAGTCACTCTTTTCATATATACATGGGTGTTGGCTTTATTTGAATCAAGCTGATATTACTTATTCAGTCAATATAAATGTTTTATTTTTTTATGTAATCAGTTAATTATTCACTTATTCAGTATTTCTTCATTCATTCGTTGTTCATTCGTTCGTTCATTCATTCGTTCATTCATCCATTAATCATTCATCAAATTAATTATCCAACATACTAACCAATAAAACAACCAACCAATCAGAAGCCGTTTATATTAGGTTAATTAAATCAACCAATCAGAAGCCGTTAATATTGGGTTAATTAAATCAACCAATCAGAAGCCGTTTATGTACGATGGCGAGAGAAACGAGTTACTGCGGCCCGACGGCATTGGTACTGGGTACTACCACAATGACGATACCTACTATGGATTCTATAGAAACGGTATTAGAAGCGGTATCGGAGAATACCGGTTCGTATTATTCGGTATCGCTAACTTTACTTCATTTAACGAGTTAATTAATCACTAATAAGACGAATAATACCGAACTAATATCATTTGACGTTTTGATATACTTTACATTATTTCTCTTATATCCCGGTTAATGTTTTTTATTCGGTTTTCGAGTCTATATTAATCAAACTAATTAATTTTTTAATAACCCACTAATTGATTGATTAATCAATCAATCAATTAGTTAGTTAATCAATTGACCAATCAATCAATCAATCAATTAGGTATGCGAACGGTGATATTTACCAAGGTGAGTGGCGGAGAGGAATGAAACATGGCAAGGGATTCATCCTCTACTCAGATGAGAAAAGCAAATACAGCGGTTCGTCCGTTCTCATTTTTAGTATCTAGTCTCGTCTGGTAGTGTTCAATGCTATTTAAACAGTTTTTTTTCACCACTGTAGATGGAATTTTAATGTTTTACTATTTTTTTATATTTAAAATTATTTAAATTTCGATTAAAAATTGAAATAAAGAATTTCGGTCAGATTACGACCACTACATTTATCGTGCTATTAACCTACTAAATATAGGTTTTTTCTCTCAAATTTATATTTCATGGGTAATACAATTAATTCAATAACGTTAAAACCAAATAAATTAAAAAAAAGACACAAATAATTCAAGATCACCACGACAACTAAAAAAAAAAAATTAATAACTAATTCATCTGCACACTACGCCGCATCCACGCCACACCAAGCCATACCACGCCACAACACGCCACGCCACACCACAGGACAATGGGTCAAAGATATGAAGGAGGGCGTAGGTACTCTGATCTACTCGAATGGTGATGTCTACCGAGGAAATTGGGAGTCTGGCAAAAAGCATGGAAAAGGTCATTTAAACCAAATAAAACTTATCAATTAATTATTAATTAATTATTAATCAATTAATTGATATAATTTATGAATTTGTTAAAATAATTGTTATAGGGTTGTACTTTTTCGCCGTAGAAAAACTTTTGATTGCCTCTGAATGGAACTACGGTGTTAGAAAGCGGGAAAGTGATGTAGTGCTGGATAAGATATAGCAATGATGATTGCTTGAAAGACTTTTTTCACGATTGCAATGTTTTTATTTAAAATTTCTAAAAAAGTTTACATGAAAAAGTTGCTCTGCAATGTACCTACATAGTTTTAAGATATTGTTGTAAACCAGTTAATTTTTAATTTAAATAAATCGTTTAACAGAGTTCGAAATATCAATAAATTGTTCATCTAAAGTATGTATTTTAGATGAATATGCTACCTTCTATTAAAACCTTTTATGCTATATACTAACAACCGTATATATGGAATAAAATTCTATCTGCGAAATATCACTACGTCGCCATAGAAGTTAACTTTTAATCAATCTACCTTTTATTCTCACCTGAATTAATCTCATCGCGTAAACATCAACTAAGCAATGTTAATCCCGATCTGAACTTTCGAATGAAATTAGGCGCAAATAAATGAATGACGGCTTGAAATTTTAAGTTAAATTTTTACTTTTCTAATGTTTAAATAATGTCTTCAGTGGCACCCACAATAAAACCGATTAAGAGTGACGAGCCCCTCGTTGCAGTGCTGGGCCGCCCGTTAACGATCTCCGTATTTGTCGAAGCCCGCCCCAAGCCCAACGTCAAGTGGCAAATCGGGAGGAAGAGAGTTAAAGAATCAGCAAAGTATCATCTGAAATGCGAAGAGGTGAAAGGCAGGTATGATCTGATCGTTCAGAAAGCTACCGAAGATTTGAATGAAGGTGTGTGGGTCGTCGCATCGAACCAGGCGGGCGAAGATTGCTGCCATTTGATTGTTCAAACTATTGCTGCTAGTAACAGTGAGATTATATTTTTTATTGATGAGATATTTTTCTTAATATTCCAACTTTAATTAAAAGTAAACTTTTGAATTTAATTTGATTGAATCAATTGAAATAAATTGTTTTGATTGATCTGTTCTGCAATCAAGGTAATCCGTCTTATGTTGACATCACCAATGAGAATGTGACAATAACTGAAAAAGAGGTTCACGTTAGTGAAGATGAAGACTCAATTAAAATAACTGAAAAACATAGAACAGTCAAACACAAAAGAACTATATCAATGACGGAAATAAACTCAGAAAATTTGGACAAATACTTAGGCATCAGTGAAGTTCCTAACATATCAGTTGAAACAAATATCAATGTACCTAAAAGAAAAATAAAAAATGGCGTAGATAGAAAATTAAATTCATCAGAATCTGTCTCTGAAACTAATCTCGATGACCCTTACATAAGACTTCCTAAAAAGGTAAAAAACAAACAGCCAAAAGATGTAAATCAACTTAAAGATGAGAACAATAATATAGACGTAGAAAAACCACCACAGAAACAAAGCAGTATTAAAAAGCCTAAATCAAACAACAACAACAACAACAACAACAACAACAACAACAACAACAACAGTGAAGCATTAGGTCCACCTCTTAAGAACGATGATGTAAAAATTAAGATAAACGGTCCAAAAAATCATGAAATGATTGAAACGGATTTAGATAAATTTGAACAGACAAGCAAAAAAGAAATGGCGAAAAGGAAAAATAACAAAATTGAGGATGAAGATGATGAGGAAGAGGAGATAGATGAAAAAGAAAAAGAAGAGGAAGAGAAAAAAAAACATAAAAATGCCAAGCAGGATGTTTTGTGGGAAATTTACGGTAAAAATGTCATAGAACTTTGCAATGAAATATTGAAGAATTATGACTACGGTTATGTTGAAGATACTGATGAAAATGAAAAAGAAAGCAGTGAGAACCAAGGAGAAACAGCTGATGAGGAAGAAAAGGACGAAACAAAAGAAGTGGTTAATGTGAAAAACAAAAATGACGACAAAAAAGTCGATAAAATGAATGATGAAAACACAACTGGCGATAACAAAAAAAATAAAATTGTCACAAATAACGACAAATCTGATGAGATGACAAATAAATTAGAAAACAAACTGCCAAGATCTTTTTCAAATTCTAAAAATTTTTCTGATGAAAATGTTCATGTACCAGACAAACAATCTAGCGCAGCTCCAAAAGTCACACCTGATCAAATACAGATAAATAAAGTTTACACAAAGGCGGAAACAGATCAAACGGAGAAGAACGATGATTTTAATAAAAATGGACAGATTGATAAAAATCCTTCCAAAGATGACGCCCATGCCAACGATAATTTGAAAAAATTGTCCACGAAACCGGCTGTTGATCCAGTTGAAAAGAAACCAATACTAAATACAAAACCTGCAACGAACGATTCAAATAAAAACAATGAACTCATAAAAGATGTAAAAGTTGATTCAAAGAAACCAGAAGACAAAACACTCATTAATGATAATTCAATTAAAACAACTCCAAACATAGCAACAGGTCCAATACGAAAAAGCACAGCTGACGTAAAAGCAGATGAAACGAATAAAGACAAGGATGTAAACAAAAATTACCCCAAAAAATTTGAAAACAATGAACCCACCAGCGACAATTCAAAGCCAATATCACCGCCAAAAAATGAAAATAAAACGCTCATTAAAGATGGTTCAATTAAAACAAACCCAAACATAACAACTGGTCCAATGCAAAAAACCACAGTTGACCCGAAAGCAGATGAAACGAAAAAAGACAGTGATTTAGGTAAAAATGACCCCAAAAAATCTGATAACAAAATATCCACTAGCGACAATTCGAAGCCAATATCACCGCCAAAAAATGAAGAAGCTGTGACCATTTTGAAAGGAAATGATGGGAAGCCAAAATTTTACATCAACAAAATTGACAACGTTCCTATCGTTCCCAACCTTGCCCTTGTAATGCCAAAAAAACATTTTCCATTTAAACCTCAAACAGACTTTAACACTGGCCCTCTAGTAACAACCAAACCACCACCCCATCTGCCAACCGCCTCTGCTGATCCCAAACCAAAAGTGCTGACAACGTACGTTGTTCATAGGAGGTATCCAAGCTACAGGAACCTCTTGGAAGCCAACATGAACATGAGCACGAGTAAGAAACATACGCCCAGACAGTATCCAAACACGCCTCGTCAGCAGAAAAAACTTGATAAGAGTAGAAGCAGATCAGTCGATCTTTTAAACAAAAAAGCTGACAACGACGATGATGAAAATGCTGACATTTCACAAAACGAACGTTCCTGGGATGAAGCCAACACGTTGCCGTCTAGACCGAAGTCAACTGATTTCTACGTGAAAACAAAACTTCTTCCCTCTCGCAGTGAAGAACTGTTGGTCATAAAAGGTTCAAGACTGAGACCGAGCCGATTAGATGACAGCGGCAGTAGGAACGATCTGTTTAGAAGTTACCAGAGTTTGAATACAGACAGTGAACACGGCAGTGTTAGTTCGAAAATGGGCAAACGAACAATGAGCAGGGAGTGGGAAAGAGTGGTGGTTACCACTACTGAGGAAACCTTCCTGGTCTCCAAAGATGATGATGGCAAAACAAAAATTGTGAAACAACCTGTAAAAGTTTCGACTGAAACTTCAACAACAGATTTCCGCCCAACAAAACCTGACCTGACAAAAGTCGAAAAAGGCAGTGGACCGGATAAATGCTACGTGGGAGCCTTCCAGTCGTCAAATGCGCAGATGCACATAACAGGCTCCTCGCAGACGCCTATCGTAATAACAGCCGATAAAAACATGGGTCCAGTCACTTTGAAATTCGTTGACGGATCTGTTGGAACAGAGGATTTGAAAACAAATGCAAAGTCCAAAACAGTTACATCGGAAATTGGAATAGGGACGGATGCAAAAAAAGTAACCACAGTTGGCAGGAGCACTGAAGCCAAGCCAAGCACTGGATTTTCAAGCCAGCAGACTGAACCAGTTATAATAAGCAAGTATCCAACAAAACACAATGATAGTTCAACACAGACGGACAAAGAAAAGGAGAAGGACAAAGACGAAAACGTGATACCAGTAACAATAACATCGGAATATCCCGTTATAAACTTGATCCCAGTAAAAGAGGAAGTGAAGCCGCAAGAGTACATAACTTCAGCTGAATCGTACGAATATGGTGAGATCATCACTTTCTACGATGAAAATTCTGAGAAAGGGAAAGAGTTCGCAAAACTAAGAAAGAAAGAATACAAAGATAAACTGAAACCGTTGTTCAGCATTGAACATCTTAATGCGTTAAAGCCAATAAACTTCAGAGAAACTGATATTACAAGTTCTTCTTCAAATGCAAAGCCAGGCGAAATAGAAACGACGCGTTTTCAGACTGTACTCGAGGCAGACAAGCCATCAAAAAATGTTAACAGCAAAGATAATCTTGTGAGTTTAGACTTAAATTATTTTAATAATAAATTAAATATATTTGACGTAACTCCTTCAAATCTAGAACAAGGTGCCGCGGATTTAAATGAGTCAAAAGAATCGGAAGCAGAAGCAACTTTGAACGATCATGAGCAGAATTCAGATTTGATGGATTTTTCAACTGACGACGACTTATTAACCTCTACTAACATTTCATTTTTTAATCCCAAACCATCTTTGATTGAAAACACTGACTTGAAACCTTCGTTAAGATATAACTCTAACACTTTCAAATTTCAAAATAAAAAGCCAGATTTGCTGCTTACTAGCTTTGAATCTAACACAAACGAGCAAGATAATTTGACCCAGGCGGCGCATAACCCATCGGAAGAAATTGTCGAGGAGATGATAAACTCTCTGAGCAACGGTAGCAACGTATCAATACATAACAATTCGTATGATAAATTGATAGAGTCAGTTAACAACAAACGATGTAAGGACAAATACTATGGCCCAATGAACAACTTCACATGGGATTTCCTGAACCGAGAACAGTCGCAGGAGTTGAAGAGGAGAATGAAGTTGAGTCCCATGGATAGCAAACGCATCCTTCTCAGTAACGCAGACCTTTGTCAGACCATCTGTCAAGATTTTGGAGATTCTGTCGACAAAGATGATCACAACATTGCTTCAAATTTTCATTTAGAAGGTAGCAAACCAAACAAAGTTTCACCAGATGGACAAAACTTCCAAAACGAGAGTGCAAATTTCCCTCATTTACACAAAGAAATGATTGAGGAGAAAGAGCGCTTCTTCAACACTATTAGCTATCTCAGTAAGTCTTAGATAGACCACGCTAACTAATTGAGGCTTGCGATTTTTCAAACTCTTTCAAATCATACTAAACTCTAATTTTTGTAATTTTCCAGCTTAAATTTATTTAATTCGAAGATGTATACAGACGCTTTGTTAATTTTATAACGGAATGAAAGGTTTTGAACGTTTCTCAAATGAAGTTTAACTTGTACTAATAAACGCAGCATATTAATTTATGGCAATATTTTTTATTTTTTTTTTTTTATTCATAACTTTTCATATCCACTGATGAAAAAAATTGTCGTAAAGCGTTTGCTTTCAATGTGTTGAATAAAAGGCTTGCTTTTTTAAAAGTTTATCTTAAAAATTATCTCATCGTAGAGGTGCTTACACATTTTGTTACCTTTCATATCAACTTCAGCCAAGATCATTCCATCTTTCCGCTTTTATTTGATGTTATATTCCAGCTGAATTCATGCGCCATGCTTTGTTTGGAAGTTTAATTTTCATATTTAAAAACAAATACTCGCGACATGTAAAACATCGTAAAAATAAAATTTTCTTTGCAGGTTTCATTGTATTCTTCGTAACAGCTGTTTTATATTTCATTTTGAGGAATTTTACAGAGATGACCTTCCTTCGATATTGAACTGATTATTCGTTATATGACACCGGAGCAATTAATTTTTATTTTTTATTCGTTTTTTCGTTTTTTTTTGTAAAAATGACTAATAATTTATTTGTTTTAAATTAAATTATATTCTTGATATCTTGCTATTTTGTTTGTTGGAAGGTGGTAGTAACAAAACTACTCTTTAATAGATTTTTGCTATGATATATTGCTATTCCTATCTTAAGTCGTTGATTGCATTTTTTAATTTGATAAATCGTACGAATCATTACATTTTGTAATAAATTCATTGAAACGTTTTAAAAAATAAGACAAACTCAATTAGTTTTATAAATATGAAACGAGTTCACGTGTGCTTGCGTGCACCAGAAATGAGTTTCAACAAATAACCCAAGGAACAATGTTTCTTTGTCGTCGGTTTAGCTGTTTTTTTGTGACTAACTATAAATAATACACACACAACACACACTCGCTCATATGTATATAAACTATGTGGAACATTTATATTTAATATACATATTACACGTAATACGTATATTATATAATAATACATCAATTTTTTCCAAAAAAAAACATCACAAACCCTATATATATATATATATATATATATATATATATATGACATACTACAAGCTTAAGAAGACTACAATGTATGTATATTGTACATACTTATTAATACAAACACATACATGTGTGATATGTATCTATACACATACATAGATACATACACATGATCTGTATATATATATATATATATATATATATATATATATGTGTGTGTGTGTGTGTGTGTATATATGTGTGTGTGTTTGTGTGTGTGTGTATGTGAGTCTGTGTGTATTGGAAGTATGTACCACATATAGTGCCAACGGACTTGCTATTTTTAGAGACCGTATGCGTCGATCTACTAATGTTATGCGTGTAGGCACCGCCGTTGCTTAGACGAACGTGTTGTTGTGTGTTGCCTTGCATTGCGTTATGCTGGCTCGAGGAATCTTATTGACGAAATATAATCTCATCTGGTTTATTTTGTAAACAACATCTCTTTTGGGAACTTTTTCGAAATTTGTTCGCCAAAATTTTGTTTAATTGGATTAAAATGTTTTAATTTGGAGGGTTTTGTGGTAGATAACCTTGTTTGAGGCTGCAAACCATCGAGAAAACATTAGTTGACAACGCGCAATCTAACATAAGAAGCAGCAAGGAACGTGAAGTGAAAAACAAATTGAATTAATTAACTCCTCATTTGGCCATCCCAGAGGTTCATCTTTGATTTAAAAATGGATAACGTGTTGAAGTTCGTGATTGCCTGCATTTGCTTCAATTATGGTACGTTTAATTTAAATTTAAACATTTATTTTATTTCATATATCAGTTTAAGTTGTCCCATATAACAGCGTTATATGGGACAACTGATATGATAAGGGTTTGGGTTATCATATGGGTTTGTACGTGCTACAAACCCATATGATAAGGTTTGTAGCACGTACATGTACAATTCTGCTATT